AAGTGTAGGAAGGTTAATAAGTTTTAAGCGACTCGTATAAGGTGGAAGACTATATTGAGAATCCCATCGGAAATTTCTTAAAGCAAAAAGTAGGAATTGTTTTTGAATTGATTCTATCTTGTCTGAGTAAATTTGATACCTTGGATTCCAAACCACCGAGCCATATTCCAGAATCGGCCTAACTAATGTTGTAAACAGGGTTTTAGTGATATACGGGTCACTAAATTCTTTTGACCATCGTTTCACAAATGCAAGTACACCTTTAGCCTTGTTGACTGTCACATTAATGTGAAGATTAAAATTAAGCTTAGGATCCATTGTGATACCAAGGTCCACAAAATTGTATACCTGTTCCAGGTTATGGTTACCTATTATATAAGAAACTGGCAGAACAGCTCTTCGCGAGAAGCACATTACTTTACATTTCTTAAGATTTAGAGGCATAAGATTTACTTTACACCAGTAAGCCATGCTGTTTAAGTCTGATTGTAGCAAAGACCTTTCTTCAATTGAAACGTACGATTTATAAAGTTTTACATCATCTGCATACATTAAAATTTTGGAGAATTTTATATCTGTAGAAATATCGTTTATAAAAAGCAAGAACAGAATCGGGCCTAGGTGGCTACCCTGAGGGACTCCTGAAGTAACATCAATGACGTCAGAGATAGTATTTTTAAACAATACCCTTTGTGATCTATCATAGAGGTATGAAGAGATCCAACGTAGAAAATTAGGTGGAAGACCAAGAAGATCAAGTTTATAGATGAGCAACGAGTGGCACACTTTGTCAAATGCTTTACTGAAATCAGTATATATAACATCAACAGTTTTGCTCTCACTAAATGCTTTTGAGATATAGGATGTTAATTCAAGTAAATTTGTAGAAGTTGATTTGCCCTTGCAAAATCCATGTTGACTGTATGAAATGCTTGAAGTGATAGAATGCGTCAACCGATTTGTTATAATTGCTTCAAATAATTTAGGAATTGCAGAAAGCTTAGCTATGCCCCGGTAGTTCTCCACTGAAGACCTGCTACCGCTTTTATGCAAGGGGGTTATGAACGATTCCTTCCATACAGTTGGAAAAACGCCCTCTTTAAGAGACAAATTAAATAAGGCTGTTAACGGCTCATAGAGATAATCAGCACAATTTCTAAGAAAACAAGTGGGGATCTGGTCAGGACCATAACTAAAAGACTGCTTTAAGGACTTCAGGTAAACTAAAACATCATCGGGAGATATTATAGGTTTATGTATTGAGTTAATTGGACTTAGTTTAAAAGGATAGTCAAAGTATGCTTGGGAGTTAGTGGAATAATTGGATTTAAAAAACTGAGCGAACATGTTAGAAATTGTTTGATTATCACCAGAGACGGTATTTTGATACTTCATGGCGGAAGGAAACCCACGTACATTTCGCTTGGAGTTTACGAAATCATAAAATGATTTGGGGTTATATATTATACGTCGTTTGATTTTACACAAGTAATCTTTATAACACTTTTTGTTTAATTCAAAGAACTTGTGACGCAAAAGTGAGTATTTTATATAGTATGAGTGTAAGCCGGTTGTTTTGTGTAATCTAAAATAACGTGACTTTCTGTTTTTCAAGTTTCTCAGTTCTTTAGTGAACCATAACTGTGTTTGTTCTACAGGAACACACATGCGTTTAGGCACATACTTTTCAAATAATCTATGTACAGTAAAATTAAAATGTGCAACGCTTTGCTCAACTTTTTCTTTGTATATAGGCCACGACAATTTAGACAATTCTTTATTCAGTTTTTTAAAGTTGGCTTGCGAAAAATCAAAGCGAATATTTGGCTCGTATGTTTGGACATCGCAATTTTGACCATCGTTTATAATTTCGTAAGATATCTCAATAGCAGGGTGGTAGACATCTTCGGGCAAAACTAGTGGGTCACATTTATTTACAGCCGACTTAGATGCATCATCAACATAAACGAGATCTAATACTTTGCCAAACTTATTGCGAAGTACATTAACTTGATTCAGGCAGAGTTCAGCCATCTCCTCTAAAAATACGTTGTTGCACGCGCTAGACGAGAAAGGTACAATATCATTGTCAATGAATTTCCATGATACATTTGGTAAATTAAAGTCACCCAACACAATCAATGAATCAGAGGGTTTAATCATTGAATTAATTGATTTCAGTAAAGATACATGTTGTGAATACACTGATAAGTCAGATCGGGGAGGAATATAGCATAGAGCTAAGTAAGTAAACCCCCTTCCAACCTGAACACGAATGCATTTGAATTCTGCAGATTCGATGTGTGGAAGACTAACTTCTTCAGATGGTATTGAAGAGTCTACGGCAAAGAGTACGCCACCGCCGACTCTTTCCTCCCGATCTTTTCTGTAGATATGATAATTATTTGAAAGAATCTCTGAATTAAAAGTGTGAGGTTTGAGCCAAGTTTCAGTCAAAGAAATTATATTATAATTGCATTCAAGGCCATTAAGATATAAATTCGTTAATTTAGTATTTATGCCTCTTACGTTTTGATAATAAATACTTAAAGCAGATTTATTAATCAGTTTTTTGGTTCTGTATTCTGACGGGGAATATTTGCTAAATTATTATTTTTGTTGGGCCTATACTCAAATTCACGAACGAAAGCTCCGGAGGGCCAAAAAGAACTACTAAGCAGCATGTCAAAATTTTCTAAATTTACGTCTGTTTTAAATGAAGAAATATTTCTTTCATATTTAAAATTAAATTTTCTGATAGTTAAGTTGACAGTTTTAACTTTGGACGAGATGTAAAACTTTATATCGTCCTCGGAAGTATCCCTCGAAAATCTAGATACAAATATAGACTTCTTTGGGGGAACCACAACCAGTCTCCTAGTATCAGACTCGATTACCGGCGGACGGGGTTGAGTAACTGAGTTACTAGTTGAGGGTAGAGTAAGCGTTGGAAGATTGGATGGCGGTGCCACAACTTCAACGGGGGACGGGGAAGATACTGCAGGGTCGTTATTATTAGAAGCAGACTTTGATTTATGTTCTTTTGAGGAAGATAACTCCGTTGTCTGTGGACATGGAGAAGAAAGGTTAATTAAGTCATTCGGAAGAGTGTTCTGACGTGGAACGGTCCTTTCATTAGGCGGACTATGAAGACGCTTACGTTTTGACACACGAATGTCCTTCATAGATTGTACAGTATCTAAGCATTTAAAAGATTTAAATACATTTTCGTAATGTTTAAATTTTTCGGTCAGTACCGACAACTCTCTTCCTACCTCAGAAAACCCATTTCTGGTTTGCCTAAACAACTTAAAGAGATCAACTTCGGTTGACCTGCACTTTAAGCAAGACCAGCGAAGACCTTTGCCATCATTAATAGCGTCCAGAATTCTTCCTGTCAAACCAGCACATTTTAGATGGCAAATACCATCACAGAGCCAGCACGATAAGTAGCGTTCAGATTCGCTTTTGATTTGGCAGTTATCAAGATCACACTTCATATTGAAAGATTTAATAACACTTATGTTAATAAAAAGACAAGCAAAATAAGTTTAACACAACACACACAACAATTCAGGAGCTGATGTATTTAGCTTAAAAATATATGTAGCGAACAGTTTGAGTATCACTGTAATGTGACACTTAATAAACGCAGCGCAAACAGCTGTGACAAGAAATACTAAACGAAGTAAACAAAAAGAGCAAAAAGAAATGTGCAAAAATAGAAACGATCTCAGTTAACTACAAAGGAATTACAACAACAATGATAACAACAAATGACTCGGCAAGATTAGATGTAAGCTAGTGAAATTTAATTAAATTTAATAAAAACCACAAAAATCACAAAACTTTCACTTAGCTTCGGTTATTATCACACTAAGATGCTCGTAGGCACTTTTTATAGCAACTTTTACTCAAAACTAGCACAATAAACTTTGCAAAATACAAAGACCAATCAAGGCACAAATAAGTAGAACTTCACAGCTTGACGTTTGCGTAACCAGTGGGGGGATTCTCCACATGCCGGGCACTCATTGGGGATATTGGGGTCGAGTTTGGACAGGTAGCTGTTGAGGCGGCTACAGTATCCAGACCGTAATTGAGCCAGGGTAACGCGGGTCTCTCTTGGCAGTTGAAGCTCCGTCTCTTCTACAGGTGGTGATTGGGCTCCTATTACGGCATTCATAGGTCGAGACTCTATGAATGTTGTTGATGGCTCGTCTGTATGTCGTCGGGTCCAGTGGTTGGTCTACCTGGCGACCTTAAATTAACGAATGTTATCTTTCGCTTTTAGAATCCTCTGCCGGCACGGGCGAAACTCGTGAAGATCGCGTAGCTCGTGCTACACGTGAAATGCTAAGTAAGATGCCACCACCCTACGATTTGTTTGAGGTTCGCGAGCGACTTCGCCTGATGGGACATACCAGCTCAATGAATATATTTTTACGACAAGAAATCGATCGCATGCAGCGGGTGAGTTTTGACAAATAAATGACAATTTTCTTCAAATCAAATTTAAACTCACAACTCTTTTTTGTCTAGATTATCATTCTCGTGCGTACGACACTGAAAGACCTACTGCTTGCCATTGAGGGTACCATCATCATGAGCGAACAGCTGCGTGATGCCTTGGATAATATTTTCAATGCGCGTGTGCCCACTGTATGGAAGCGTGGCAGTTGGCTATCAACCAGTTTGGGTTTCTGGTTTTCCGAGTTGTTGGAACGTAATCAGCAATTCCATAATTGGTGTTTTATTGTAAGTACAAAGTATACTAAACTGAAACTAAACTAGGCAATTGAATTATTGTGTTTAAGGGCCGCCCCGTTGTATTCTGGATGAGTGGTTTCTTCAATCCCCAAGGTTTTCTAACTGCAATGAAACAGGAAGTCGCACGCGCACATCAGGGCTGGGCTTTAGATCAGGTGACCATGCATAACGATGTGCTAAAACTGGGCGTCGAAGAGTGCAAAAAACCACCAAAAGAGGGTGTTTTCGTTGAGGGTTTGTTTGTGGATGGCGCTGGCTGGGATCGCAAGTTATCTAGATTAATTGAAGCGACAAATAAAGTGCTGTACGTACTATTACCGGTTGTGCACATATACGCTGTAAATTCTGTGGCACCGAAAAATCCAAAATTATACACGGTGAGTCTGCGAAAAATACTCTATACTACTAGTTTTGAATTTGAACTTTTAATCTAACATTTTGTTACTTTTCCAGTGTCCGGTTTATAAGAAAATCAATCGCACTGATCTGAATTATATTACAGCACTTTGGTTACAATCGCAGAAACCGCCAGATCATTGGATATTACGTGGTGTTGCTTTGCTTTGCGATATCAAATAAAAAATACCAAATTCCCAAGATGTATATTTGTAGTTTTCTTCATATTTTGATACCAATTATTTGTTCTCATATTAATTTTAATAAATTGTTAATATAATAAATCTGTTCTTTTTTATTATTACACTATTTACAAAGCTATTACCATCACATACCATTGTGTGAATATTAATAACATACCAAAATCTATACTAAATTGAAATATGTATGTACGACGATGATATCATTATCATGGAATGCGTTGTTTTCAGTGCACCCAGTGGAAATATCGGGAGAAATGAGATGTTGCAAAATAAGTTTTTCAATCGAAAATGCACAAAGGATAGTGCACTGATTGCTCTCATATGTATGCATGTATGCATACACGTTTACAAATATAGTGATTTAAATAAAAGTTGTTCCACATAATAATATCTTTCCAAATTTAGAAATTTGCATTGTAATATATTCCACTTCATTACCTCTTTTCAGCTCAACCTCCACTTAATTGCGTCCCAATTGGTTACCGCGTCCCCAAGTGTCGCCGAAATACGCATTTCCAGGTGCTGGTCGCTGAGGTGCGCGACTCACCGGTGGCTCACCAAAACCGCTGAAGCCACCACTCACATCCGGCACATATTGTTTTCTGATTGGAAGGAAATAATTCATAAGAGCTTACCATAATACTATTGCTGCCAAATATACTTACAGCAGAAACGGTGTTTCTAAAAATGCATTGCCACCAAGTTCTTGTGGATATTGGAATTTGAAAAAGTAATAGAAATGTCCAATAAATATGCCAATTAACGACGCAATCGACCTAAAAAAAAATAAAAGAGGATTAGTCATCGGATTTAAATGTTAGGCCACGTCATATACCCTTGGAATACTAGCTCCATAATCGCTAACACCCACGGTAAGTAGACAGCTTTAAATCGTGTGCCAAACCAGAAGTTTACAATAACATCTTTATTTAGTTGGCACCAAATGTATGTTGTTGATACCACCAACAGGTCCATGAGGAAATATACCTATAAAAAGCAATAGATGATGTAATTTACTTTGGAATGCATAAATAACTATTAACTTACATTAAATAACATGCCACCGATATTAGCTAGCACGGCAACTATCAGCAACATGTAGAGGTAATCAGCTGGGCTGCGCCCAAATTGCTCCTTTTCCAGCTGCGCTATGTAGCGCAAAATGAAGTAGCAATTGATGAGGAAATGGAATCCCGTCGCTGATGTCATCGGGTAGACGAATAAGGCGGTAACACAGCGCCATAATTGCAAGCGCCCCCAAACGGCATCGCGGCTTAGGTACACTGATTCCAAGGGCAATACATCGAAGCGGGTCAGCAAACTGAGCACAACCGTGGCTGTTAGCCAGTAGCGTGTGAAACGAGGTAACTGTTTATACCATTGACCTGGATCGGTCATTTTTACTTGCACTTTTATTTACTTTAGGTAAAAATAATTTATAAATATTAGCTTGCGGAAAATATACAATCGCAGCGAACAATATGGGTGAATTCGTTTTTCTTAAATATGACAGATTGGCACAAAAAAACTTACGTGTCCTAATCTTTTACAATCACGCAGAGAGCGTAAATAAATTACGTTATTTGAAATACGAAAATGATGTCAGGGACAGTGTTGCCACAACATATTTTATTTTATGCCAAAATTAAAGTTACCAAATTCAAAGAACGTTCTTTCATTATCGTTCTGTGATGGTACCAAATTGAAAAATAAGTTACCAAATTTGAAAAATAAGGAGAAAAAGAAATTTTGGGCAACGCTGGCCAGGCAACATAAATTTACGTTCTCTGGTTTGACTGCGCAACAGTTTGAAATGCAGTGTAGTAAAAAAACATTAAAATTATCTGTGTTTCCGGTAAGTAGACAACTTACGTATGGTACATACCAGGGATTGGCATTGGTTGATCGTCAACTGTTCATACTCATTCAATACCGCTGCTTTGTATGACTGAGCAGCGGCGTTGGCTTAGTAGTATCGATACCTAAACGAAATTAGAGGATGACTGAACACGAGCGCATTGCGTGCTGTCTTGCAAATACAGCCACCACAAGTGAACGATGCTTATAACTGCTCATACTGATATTGACTTCGGCAAATCTGTGCTCTGAATGATCGTGCACGAAACCAGCAAACGTGGCAGTTGAACGGCTCCGAAAACATGAGAGTCATCATTTGTTGCAGAAGTCGTTTGACTTGTTGCTGAAAATCATCTGACTTGTTGCTGAAAGCCATTTGACTTGTTGCTGAAAAACATCTGACTTGTATCTGAAAATCATCTGACTTGTTGCTGAAATGACGACGAATGTGGTAAAGGGTAATTTATCGTCTCGTATGAATGTATGTATGTATTTATAGCGCGTCTACCATTCAATTGCATTGCTCACTGCTGGCTAGTTGTGAGGAATGTGCATACGTACGTATGTATGTATGTACATATCAATGCTTCATTTCAAACAAGCAAGTGTCTTTGAATGTTTTTGAACTACAGTATCATCACTTCGGCAACACGTCAAACGCGCCTTCAGCAACAAACCAAAGGCGGCGGTTTGACTTCTGCAACAAATCAAGTCAGAGCCATACCTAAATAAGCGCGTCAAGCGTTGGGCCTGTCGGCCTCTCTTCTTCTAGCGTATATAAATTTAATGTGTCAGAGAGAGATAAAGATACAAGCGAAACGCTCAACGAGCTAATTTAGGTTTGGCTGTTAGTTAACTGCGGCATCTTGCCTTCGCCAGTCTTTCACATAAGCTGTCATGCTTTCGGCAACCGTCCAAATGCAGTATCGTGCTTATGGCTGTCGATCAAATACGGCGGTTGCTGGTTTCGTGCACGATCATTCGGAGTACAGATTTGCCGAAGTCAATGTCAGTATGAGCTGTTATAAGCATCGTTCACTTGTGGTGGCTGTATTTGCAAGACAGCACGCTTTGCGGTGGTGTTCGTTCATCCTCCGTTTTTAACGTGAGTAGGCTTAAAGTCACAAAAACAGCACCCTTTGCCAATCCCTGGTACATACATTTGTTTTAAATATAATTCGAAATGAAGAACTAACGAGTTTTTGTGTACTTTTAGATGCCTCTACCTTTGGAGAGGAGCTGAAGGTCGGGCAGCCTAGGCCGAACTCCTTCAGCTTCTCTCTGAGAATGGCATCCGGGGCCAACGATATGCGGATGAAATAGTGTTTATTGCCAGAGGTTTGTTCGAGATCACCGTCTGTGATATTATTCAAAGGGGTTTAAGATTGATGAAAGGATGATGTGCCAAGTTTGGATTTGCAAATAATACAGCCAAAACCGTCATAAATCCGTTCACTAGAAAACAGCCCTGTTAGAAATAATGAACATAACTTTGGACGGGGTCGTGATCAGTGTCGTCATGGAAGACAAGCTTCTGGAGGTAATCTTAGATACCAAGCTTGGAAGTAATATACAGATGCGACCAACGGGGAAACTTTCCATTATGGCCGTTCGTTAAAGGTGCGGTGGGCGAAGGGGGAGTGGGCGTAGCACCTCCAACCGACCTTTTTGGAGAGGGAATGAACCGCCATTGACAAAAATGCAACCCCCGACCACCTAGGCCCCCTATGGTTCCCTACGGACCCCTTAGAAAAATGGGCAAAAATCGCAATTTTTACTTGCGTCCACAGTATTTTTGCGAAGAATTCCTTTCTGCGTAGGCGGCCTTCGGCCGCGCTTAGGGATTATAACCCTTACTACGTAGAATTCTCCTTTCTGTGTGCACCTATCTGGGGCTACCACCCCAGTGATGTAACCTTGGGAAAGGATAGGGTGGCCAGATATTATAGTGACATAATCAGTACAGTTGTGATCAAAAATCAGTACAAAGCCATAAAAATCAGCTCATTTTTAAGCGTATTTTTTATTATTAACAATATAACAACCAAATAACAGCGCATTAATTTAACAAAAAATAACTAATAGACCTTTAAATACATATAGTATTATCAATACAAAAATTCATAACTTTAAAACAAATCAAAGGTGTTACGTATGTATGTACAGCTGTGCTCATGAAAATAGTAGTAAAATGTATTGACAGGTTTTGAAAATTTTTTCTTCCCTTACTTAATTTAAATTTTTTATAAAAATATAGTTAATTCCATGATACAAAAAACAAGGTAGTTCCATTGTCACTTTTTCGTCGCCATATTAACAACCTGATAATTAAGCAGATTGTTACATTTTGTGCTACCATACCCAGTATCTAAAATCCTTCAAATTTTCTTATTAATTTTTTGTCGATTTAAAAATATTTGTTCTTAAGCATAGTATTTAATTCCTGTTTCACGCGAAAAAGCTGCTAAAGTGCATATAAAATTTGTTTCTGTGAAATAAGTGTGAAATTCCATAACATTTCCTCTGCAAAGTAGTATTTTTGCAACATGAAGCTAGCAACACAATTTTCATGGCATTTTTAAAAACACGTGTACATTTTAAATTGTGTGAAAGCTGACATTTTATAGAATTCAGTAGCAGCGAAAACAAAGGGGGGTTAAGTGATTAAACCTTACCCAAGCCGATCGTAAAACTTGCAACGCGACTTCAGCTTATGCCTGTCGGTATTGGCAAGAATTTCATCCCTCAAGGTTTAGCTTAACATAGTTCTAGGGATACACCCTGTGATCATGTTACTTTCCAGAAGGTGTCGCGCCCGTTTTTCTCATCTCTCATCTTCATCTCTTTCTGCGTCACCAGAATTTTAGTTTATATGGCTTATACCGCTAGCTCTCGTAGCCGGATACGAGATCGTTTTCATATACCCCCATTTTTCATAGATTTGGGATTGATTTCATTTACCTCTATTCCAGTTCTACGGTGGCACGCTGTATTTTCCAATGAACCCATATTTTTCCATGAGTTTGAGATTGACATATATACATACCAAGTTCCAGGACTCTACCCTAAATACTTTCAGAGATATGCACTATGAAAAATTCGATTTGTATGGGAGGTTCCACACCCCCTTTAGATATCGGTTTTGTTTTAGCCTATAACCATTCTTGGAAAATTTGTGTCCGAAATTTCAAAAAAATCGGTATAGCCGGTATGGGCATTGTGACTCCTCAAGGGAAATGAACTAATGATTGCAAAAAATGAAATCAAACGTCATAGTTGACCAAAAAAGAACATTAGACTTCATTCTCTCAACTTCTCAGAATGTAGAAAAGCTAAGAAATATATAATAAGATAGTATATATTAAAATAGCCTCCAGAACATTTACCAAAGCGCCCCTGAACTACACAAATCAGGTTGGTTGAAAATTTGTTTTTATCTATTTATTTTATACTGCACTTTTGGGTGTGTAAAAATTTCATGCAAAAACAATATGTGTTGCTTGAAAAATTTCACGGCCCATGGGTTCCAAAGTAAATTCCATTTGCTGTTAAATGGACAAAGACAATATGTATTAAATAACACATCGAAATGTATAATTTCAGTGTCTGAATTATATCAGAATCATCGTATCCGATATAGAAAACTACATTGTGAAATAATCAGATAACATGAGGACACTAAAAAAATTTTAAAATATGTTCATGATAATGATTTGGCAAGTTGTTATCGAATTTAATGTAAAATTTAAACATTTTTAAGATAGGATACTAATTATTTTTAAAGGGTAAATATTAACACAACTATTTTATTTATAACCCCAAATTTAGGATAAAAAATCTCCCACACCAAAAAACTTACAATTGGGTAACGCCACTTCGAATTTTTCACAATTGAGCAATTGTCAAAAATCTGCTTTTTAATCAAAAAGTTGTTTATTGAAACTACCTTCTGTTTTGTATCATGGTTCATTCTATAACAAAAGACATGTGAGTGAAGTCTCAAACTTTAAAAAAAAAAATTGTTTGCCCATTCAGTTTCAGTAGAAGACGAGCTCGAGTCAGAATCTGTTTGCATATTTTAAGCTACAAATTTTAAACATATTTAGTTGGTGTGCTTATTAAATACAACATTCACATTAAAATGTTGACTAAAAGGTATATTACCGAATTATCGCTAAACGAATTTTCGAGTACGAATGAAATTTAATAGTGTTAAATGTGTAGGTGCAAGTAAAATTACAGGTGGTCGAACATCAAAAATTAAAGTAAAGCTACATATATCATATCCAACAGTCGGTAGTCTGCACCTTTTCCAAATTTTTAGAACTTACATTGCACCGTAGCAGTGGTCGTCTTAAGTTTGAAATACTCACAGCCGATTTCTCAATGTTTAATTATAATCGAAAGATGATCTCTTATTGTCATCATCTCAGTGTAGTTAATATATGATTAACTCACCACCACCTTTCATAAGATTTATTAATGGCGAAACCAGCTTTTCCTGTAAATCCTGTAAAAACCTGCAAATCGTGAAGTTGGGTTGGGTTGAATCCAAACAGTTTCTTATTTTGCGAAATCCTAGGAAACGAAACAATTGCAAGCTGATACCTTTTTAATAATGGTCCAAGTTTAATTAATGCTTTCAATCTGCTCACACGTACGAGTTGTCAA